AATGCTCAAAATAGAAATACCATTTGACCCAGGAATTTCACTTCTAGGAATTTACCCTAAGAATGCAGCACTCCAGTTTGAAAAAGACAGCTGCACCCCTATGTTTATCACTGCACTATTTACAATAGCCAAGATATGGAAGTAACCTAAATGTCCATCAGTAGATGAATGGATAAAGAAGATGTGGTACATATACACAATGGAATATTACTCAGCCATAAGGAAAAAACAAATTCTACCATTTGCAACTACATGGATGGAGGTAGAGGGAATTATGCTCAGTGAAATAAGCCAGGTGGAGAAAGACAAGTACCAAATGATTTCACGCATCTCCAGAATATAAGAACAAAGGAAAACTGAAGGAGCAAAAGAGCAGCAGAATCACAGAACCCAAGAATGGACTAACAGTTACCAAAGGGAAAGGGACTGGGGAGGATGGGTGGGAAGGGAGGGATAAGGGTGGGGAAAAAGAAAGAGGGCATTACGATTAGCATGTATAGTGCGTGGGGGGCATGGGGAGGGCTGTGCAACACAGAGAAGACAAGTAGTGATTTTACAGCATGTTACTACACAGATGGACGGTGACTTTGAAGGGGTATGTGGGGGGGACTTGGTGGGGAGCCTAGTAAATATAATGTTCTTCATATAATTGTAGATTAATGATTCCAAAAAAATATTAGGTAAGCTATAGTAAGATCTAAGTAAGATGGCAAATGATCCTGAAAGTACAGGTGAATGCCCATAGTCTGGGAAACAGGGTGAGGAGTTCAGATAAAGTCCAAATTCCCATTCTCAGGTGTGAGGCCTAGGAACAGAAAGTATGGTCGGAAAGGAGAATGGTCATATGTCAATCCTCGGTTTGCTGTTTTACAATAGTGAACATGGAAACGGAAGCAGAGGTGGCTGAGAAAGCTCGGGCTAAATGCAGGGCCCTTGTGGTCTAAGATTAATTCAGTGTTGTATTATGGCTCTGAATCACTTAGCTCAGTGGTCCACCTAAATAATAGGTATACTTTTGAGTATCTACCTCAGATGAATATTTCTGAGAATTGAAAAACATGTATAAAGCCGTTGGCACACACATGCTCTAAATATGAAAGCAATTATTGACTTTATTATTTTAATTATTATTACACAGAGCAAGTTGAATAAAATTAGTCCCAACATGCCTTTCAATTTTCTAGTAATTCTAGCAGAAAAAATAAAATGCAGAAAATACATGGAGACCTCTGACGCAAAACAGTTGTAGAAAGGCTTCTCATTAAAAGCCTGAAAACAAGAAACACTCCTAATGAAAGTTCTTAAAACAACAACAAAAATGACCACTGACAACCCTCCTGAGAAAACGAGTAACGTATCACAATCATCTTTCTGTGGTTCATCCTAGCATAGCAGGGCTCTGAGAGTCTAGACCTTGGGTAGAAACTGGCTAAAGAATATGAAGCCATGAGGTTGGTCGCCAAGGTGCTTTGAAAGAAAAACTGTGGATGCCAATAACCCATCAATATACCGTGTTTCCAGAGCAAACGTCCAAGTTTGGACATCACATGTGAATTTTTAACTTAAAGAACCATGTCAGCTCTGAAGAGCAAAAGACCAAGTTCATATCACACATGCTTCTAGATTTACTTCTAGAGTCCCTGATTCTATAATTCTGCCTTGGTAACTGGCTTGCTGATTACTAACTATAAATCACTTCACTGCTTAGACACTGGATATGGGAACAGTCCCAGTGTGTAGCTAAATAAAATAGCCTCGTTTCTGTTGTTAAACATTCAGACTACCGTGCCAGACTGCCTTGGTTTGAATCAACTTTGGCTTTGCCTACTTAAAAGCTGCAGTGACCTGGGGTGAGTCACCGTTATGTGCCTACAAAATGCAAGTGACATAAATAATTTTCTTTTAGGTTTTTTGGTGGTGGTGTGAGGTTTTAGTGAGTCAGTATTGTGAAAATATTTGTAATTGTATTTGTCATGGAGTAAGCCCTCAATAAATATGAACTACAGTCATTACAAGAAGTTATTTTCCTAAACCAGAAATTCTCAACATGAAGCTGCATGGAAATCATTTGCAAGGCTTGTAAACACGCAGACCCCTTCACCTTATTCCTTCAGTTTCTGATTCAGTAAATCTGGGGTAGAGTCTGAGAATTTGTATTTTTAACAAGGTCTATGTTTCTGGCCCCTAAGGACCACTGTCCTAAAAATTCTAAATGAAAGCTCAAATGCAGTGTAAAATAGAAAGAGTGAAACAAGGTCATTTTAGTTATATTAATTGTTTATGAGTCAAAATATTGGGAGGCCTATCTACAGTTGCAGGAACTGGTAAACAAGGTTTGAGCTGCTAGGGGCGATTCTAGAGGCTATTTTCATGGATGGTGGGGGTGGAAGTGAGTGGGGAACCACAACCCAAACAAACCATAAGATTTTAATGCAGTTTTCTGAGAATCGCGTTCTCCAATTGGGCCAAACAGAAAATTCAAACTGAAGGTATCACAGGTGCTCATCACTAATTCTCAACCTTCAAACACAAGTTTGGGAAGCCCCAGAACCAAGGAAGCCCGCCATGATTACAGCAAACCCGTCAACCAAAAAGGCGCATCTGCCAACAGGTCACGGTGGCATGAACTTCCCCGCGCTGAAACTGCCCTGCCCACCAGCTCGGACAAGCCTGGAGAAATCCCGGGAATTAGAAATCAAGCAGGAAATGAGACCGCAGAGAAAGAAGAAATTGGTGATCGTTTATTTTTCATGCTGCGCGAAGTCCCCAGACACAAGTCATCGTCACCCCGCCCCGCCCCGCCTCCCCTCCGTCGGCTCCAGACGGTCCCCAGACGCGGACCACCGAGCTCTGGACACCGCCGGGGGCCCGAGCCCATCGGTCACCTGAGCAAAGAGGTGAGCGGCCGTGTGGAGGGGAGCAGCCTGGGGCCGGGCATGGGAAGGCAGCTGTCCCGCCGCAGGAGCGGGCAGCAGGCAGGGTAGGGGCGGCGGAGGGCTGAGTGCCGATGGACGCCCAGGAGAGCGCGGAGGGCAGCAAGCAGGAGCGCCCCCTCTTCAGTGACTGATGCCGGAGACCCTAACTGTGAGGCACCTATGACAGATTCTTCCAAAAAGGCAAATTGAAATTTAACTCCTGGGACCTGGGGGAAAAAATGGGGTGACACTTTTAAGAGGAATTAAAGTACACTGTTGAGGGAGGAAAAGGAACTTTTAAAACCCCACTTTGCCTTTGTTTCTGTAATAAGAAATTATAATAAAGGAACACTTCTTATGGATTAATGTGGGCACGGTTATAATACCCTGAAGTTGTGGAAGCGCCTCCGCGTCTCTGTCCAGAGTATTAATTCTCAACTGCAAGCCAAAAAGACTAAGCTATTTGCTTACTTTGGGAGCAGAGAAATTTTTTTCCATTCAGGCTTGAATACAATTTTTCATTTCCTGGGAATATTCTCTGTCTTTATATCAGGAAAGGATTCAGGACCAGGGAAGAAGAGCTTAGGTATTGTCAATTTCTAGTTATTTCATTATGTACATTTTAGGGGTTAAGTTTGTGGAATCCATTATCCGCATGTTCTTTTAGACTTCTGATTTCTTCTTAAATGACTCTTATGTGGGCATACCCAGAACTTTATAGCTAAACAAGAGAATTACCTTCATCCTACTGATCCTTTCTTTGCTTACATAATAGTAAGAAGGTGGAAATGCTGTTTCCAATAATACAATCTTTAACGTTTTAGAAACCAGATGTTACAATTAAAAAAGTGGTCATGGGATTAGTCCCATATTAATTTTAATGTGTTCTAAATGCTAACAATAATTCCATTATCTTTATATTTATATGGAGATTCAAGCAATTTCGTATCTATGTTATTTTTTGCAATTTATGGCTAGAGGATGATTGCTGGTAGAATCCAAAAGAAACTATTCTATTCCAAAGAACGTTTGGATTTATAAATTATGAAGGTCACTCTTCTTAGAAAGCATAATGAAGATTTTATTGCAACCTTTGTTATGCTCTGAATTTCAGGAAAAAAATTAGGTATCCCTGGGCTTGCTCCACATGTAGGTAACATCAGTTTTCCAACAAACAGAGCATATTTCTTTCCTGTTAATGCTCCTCAACCCCCATGGGAGATGTGGGGATAAAGGAGCAAGGAAAGAGGCTAAGCAGAGCAAAAGCAGAGAGCCACATATGTCAGCAAGGGTCGGTGTGACCCACTACAGTGCAGGTACAAGGCTCAAGCCCTCTCAGCAAGTCACTGTTGCTTATGGTCATCATTTGTCAGGGAAGTATGTAATGTGTCTTTTTTTGGCAAGAGTTTGACATGTTAGAGATTTATTCACCTTTCCAGTGGATTATTACAGCTCTTAAAAATGTTTTTGAACAAGGCTTAATAAAGTGAAAAGTATGTATATATATATATATACATTTAACAATAAAATGTATTATAAAATTTAGTTTGATTATATACATATATTCAGAAATATACATACTATCTAAAAGACTGGAGGAATACAGCAAAATGTTGATTATATATGGGTGGTAGGAATATGAGTAATTTTCCACTTTTTTACAGCTGCCAAATTTTCTATGATGCACATTTTTAGTTTTATAAAGTTTTTTAAAAGTTAGTCTAAAAGAACTAATATATAAACAGAAAACTGAGCTGTATGTTTTCCAGTTATCATAATATCTTCATTATAGTCTTCATTTTCTCTCCTTAAAGAATTCCTGAGTAATTGGGATTGCTGCTTTTCACTAAGAAGGGAGAAGCTGTGAAGCAGTTTTCACAACAATAAATAACCTGCATAAGCACAAATCTCCAGCACAAACTAGGGTTTTTAAAAAGTAAATTTTACCAAAAAAGTTGTGAATGAAATTTTCCACCTAGTGACCTTTCAGGAAGGTCTCCCAGACTGCCAGAGTAACTGTGCATGGTCAAACTGGAACTCTGTTCAAACCATGTCTATAATTTCAAGGTGTGATGTTTTTTCAGGATGAAGGTAACGGACAGAGAAATCACTTGCTGGCTGTTCTTCACTGTGATCTGCCTGGTGGCCTCCACCAGGGGCAGGGCCTGTCCTCGCCTCTGTGCCTGTTATGTGCCCACAGAGGTACACTGCATGGTTTGGTACTTGACCTCCATCCCAGACAACATCCCCCATGATGTGGAGCGTTATCAATTTAGGGTACGTGGGGGCCCTTGTGTTGTCCGCTTCTCAAAGAGGGATGGATCACACTGGTGACTTGTCTCCAAAACACTTGTGACTTTGAGAGATTAACCAAAGTTGTTTTAACAATATTTTTCTTCTGAAATGAGTGCACAAAGACCTTAGTTTGTTAGAGGCAATAAAAAAAATTTCCTGGTAAGATTTTACTAGGAGGCAGTTTTTTTGGAATCTAGAGTCACTCTTGGTAGGTTGAAAGTCCCATGAATTTTGAAAAGCTTCCTTCTGGCTACATTTTAGCTGGAAAATAATATAGCTCCTGTTAAGAATCAGGGTTATGATATATTTGAGATAACAGGACAAATGGAAGTGTCCTCCCTTATATAAAAGATATGTATGAAAAGGTAGCTAGATCCTTTTTTATGCCCTTGGAATTTCCCTGTACAAAGTGACTTACTTAAAATGCTTTTTAAAATGCATATCTAATTAAATCTAACAAAAGGTGATTATATTTTAAAGTTTCATGAAAACTGTACATGGGCACACGTAGTCAGACATCAGTTATTTGATATTAATGAGCACCTACTAGTTGCCAAACACAATGAGTGGTACCAGGGATGGAGTGATGAAAAGATGTATTGTTCAATTCTATAAGATATAGTTAAAAGAAAGATGACAGTCAGTACAATTTAATAAGAACCATAAGAGAGCATAAACACTGCCTTGGGAAAGATCACTAGTAATAATGAGCATATTAACTGTGTGCTTATTAAGTCCTGGCATTGAGCTAAGCACTTGTCATGTATTCCATTTAATCCTCATAACCCCTTTGGAGTAAGTTATATTATTGTATCTATTTATAGATGGGGAAACTCAGGCACAGAAAGATTACTGATTTTACCAGTGTGTCAACACTACCAAGCACCTGAGTTCAGAATCATGGCCAAACCATCTGGCTTCAGAGCCCAGGGTTCCTAACCACAGGGATGAATTCCACTTGGGAGAGTAACGAGACATGTCATGAAATAACGGGTCTTAACAGTGCTCACAAATAGGGCTGTAATCAATCCAACCCAAAGAAACAGCATATCCCTACAGCTTTGAAAATGAGAAGGAATATGGCATGTTCTGAGAATGTGGATGGTAATGTTAACTAAGACTGCAAGGGCTAGGTAGACGGTAAACCCTCTGTGGCATTTGATGAGTTCTAATCATATTTCAAGCATTTGTGTATCCCTCACCACAAGTTAAAGAACAGGAGACTTTGGGCTTGGTATGTGCTTGTGTGTGTGTTTGCTTTGACATTTGAACTTTAGTTGACAGTCTTGGCTTATGCTGGGTATTTTATTTCAGGTACAACAGCTTGGCTAGACTGACAGAAATGGATTTTTCTGGCCTCAAAAAATTGGAGTTACTAATGCTTCACAGCAATGGCATTCACACAATCCCTGCTAAGACCTTCTCAGATCTGCAGGCCTTGCAGGTAAGACCGGTGAGGGAAAGTGGTAGTTTCAAGAAGCGAGAAGTACTTCCAAATGCTGGCTATTCATGGAGAGTCCAGAAATCAAAATTCTGTAAGTTAGAAATAGACATCAAGGAGGATATGAAAGAATGGATTTCTTATTAAATGCAATAGTATGTGAAAATTAGAGTAAGAAAATTTTGAGGCAAGTTTTCTGAGACCTCAGGCTAACAGATAAAGAAAAGTCAATACACCAAGATTACTAAACCTTTAACATTTAATCTTGAAAGGAAATTTCCAGTCATACTCATTGGGGAATTGAATGAGGTTCCTAAAATTAATTGCTGTCTTAGACAGAAGTTAGCTTTCCATTACATCAGCATAATTTTCTTCATTTCACTTTGCTTATTTATACCCTTTATTTATACCTTATTTATTTATAATTGTCTTCAAATCTTTTAAAGTTATGGGGCCATCCAAGAATGCATCAAATGTTGGAAAAATTACATTCCAGTAGGTAATAAAGTAATGGTAAAAACAAATCAAGGGATAAGAATAAGAGGAATACAGGGAAATGTATACATAAAGATCAGGATGTCTGCTATAGGTAGAACTTGAAGCTTTCGAGAAACTGACTCACAATTTGTACAGTCTGCTAAATTTCTCAGGAAATAAAAAATTGTTCAGGAAAAGCACAACCTTATTTGATTTTTTAAATTAAATTTTTAAGTGAAATGTAGTTTATATGTAATACTAGTTTCCGGTCTTCAACACAGTGCTTCAATTTTTATATATATTAGGAATTGATGAGGATAAATCTAGTTACCATGCAAATTTGTTACAATATTGTTAACTATATTCCCTATGCTGTACATTACATCCCCTTGAGGTCTTTATAACTGAAAGTTTGTATCTTTTATTCTCTTCCCCTATTTTTCCCATCCCCCCAGATCCTCCCCTCCAGCAACTACCAGATTGCTCCCTCTATCTATAAGTCTGTTTTGTTTTTTAGATTCCACATATGTGAAACCTTATAATATTTAATGTCTTTCTTTGACTGATTTCACTTAGAATAATACCCTCTAGGGCCATCAATGTTGTTACAAATTGCAAGATTTCATTCTTCTATGGCTAATATTCCATTATACATATGTGTGTGTGCACGTATGTTTGTAAAATTAGTGATATTAATTAGTGATATTGAGCATCTTTTCATTTTTCTATTGGTCATATATATGTCTTCTTCAGAGGAATGTCTGATCAAGTCCTCTGCCCATTTTTTGATTGGATTATTTTTTTAAATTGAGTTGTATGAACTCTTTACAGCTTTGGATATTAACCCCTTATCAGTTATATCATTTGCAAATATCTTCTCCTGTTCAGTAGCTTGCCTTTTCATTTCCTTGATGGTTTTCTTCAATGTGCAAAAGCTTTTCAACTTGATGTAGTCCCATTTGTTTATTTTTGCTTTTGCTGCTCTTGTCTGAAGAGACAGTTAAAAAAAAATTAAGACCAATTTCAAAGAGCTTACTAAGTTTTCTTCTAGGAGTTGAATGGTTTCTGGTCCTAACATTTAAGTCTTTAATGCATTCTGAGTTTTTTTTTTGTATATGGTGTAAGAAAACAGTCCAGTTTAATTATTTTGCATGTAGTTGTCCAGTTTCTCCACCACCATTTATTGAAGACACTATGTTTTCCCCATTGTATAGTCTTGCCTCCTTTGTTGTACTTATTTTGGGTATATAGCCTTTTCTTTTCTGCTTAAAAAAGTTCCTTTAACATTTCTTGTAAGACTAGTTTGGTGTTGAGAACTCTTTCAGCTTTTCATTGTCTTGGAAACTCCTTATCTGTTCTTCAATTCTGAGTAATAACCTTGCTGGGTAGAGTATTCTTGGTTTTCAGGTTTTTCCTTTCAGCACTTTGAATATATCCTTCTGGCCTATAAAATTTCTGCTGAAAGTAAGTTGATAGTCTCCTGCCAGCACTGGACCAGCAAAGGAGAAGGGAAGTGGGAAAAAATGATGCCCATCAGTGCTTTTGTCCCTGGAGAACATTCTAACAGATTCCTGCTCCTCTGGAACATGTCCTCAAAGTTGTCAGTGAATCCCCTTCATGTGTAACCCAGGCACTTTCAAACTGCTGTCACTGCCCTGGGACTCAGGGCGAGTGAGGTTGTGTGTGTGCTCTTAGAAGTAGAGTCTTAACTTCTTACTGCTTTCCAGCTCTCCTGGGTATAAGCCCTGCTGGTTTACAAAGCTAAATGTTATGGGGGTGCAGGCCCATCATGTCTTCCTGATACAGGTTCCCTGGGCTTGGGAGCCCAATATGGATTTCAGACCTCTTGTTCCTCAGTGGGGTTCTCAATTGTTGTGATACCCCTCTTGTTTGTGGGTCACCATTCTGGGGGGCCCTGACTAGACTGCAACTCCATGCTTCTTGTCCATCTTGATGTGGTTTTCTTCATATCCTTGGTTGTGTAAAAATCTTTTCTGCTCATCTATAGTTTGATCTCAAAGATAGTTGTTCTACATGCACTTGAAATTCTGGTTTTTCCATGGAAGGAGATGAGCTCAGGATGTCTCTACTCTACCATCTTGATCCACAAGCCACAACTTCTATCCCAAAATTCTCATAAAAAGATACATTATAATAAAATAGGTCAGTAATATCTTTATAAAAGATAAAATGCCAGTGTTCACAAAGCCTTTTGACATATCAGGGCTGCGTTAAACGATGAAATTCAGTCTAGTTATGTACTTCTGTTGCTTTGGCTTCATCAGGCTTTATTTGGAATATATGTCTTCAGAGAATGCAGGTGTCCATAACACATTTATTCTGCTGACCAGCTTAGCAATAGATACTGAGGAGCTCTGAGCACTGAGTTTAAGAGTGTGCTGTCAGGGAATGTTTCTATGTTGCCTATTTAAGTCTAATCAGGAAACATAGGAGAAATCATTGTTTTCACTACCATTTCTTTTTCTTTTGGGAGAAAGAGTATAAGTAAAGAAGGTATTGGAGAATACCCACAAACTGTGGAAACACTCAAAAAGTTATTTTAATTTCAATTAAATTCAAAATCATGTGACTCATAATAGCCAAAAAGTAGAAACATCCCAAATGTCTATCAGCTGATAAGTGGATAAACAAAATATGTTACATGGAATACTCTTTGGCAATAAAGGGCTGACACATGCTACAACAGGGATGGGTCTGGAAAATATTAGGCAAATTGTAAAAAGCCAGACACAAAAGACCACATAAATTTATAATTGTCTTCAAATCTTTTAAAGTTATGGGGCCATCCAAGAATGCATCAAATGTTGGAAAAATTACATTCCAGTAGGTAATAAAGTAATGGTAAAAACAAATCAAGGGATAAGAATAAGAGGAATACAGGGAAATGTATACATAAAGATCAGGATGTCTGCTATAGGTAGAACTTGAAGCTTTCGAGAAACTGACTCACAATTTGTACAGTCTGCTAAATTTCTCAGGAAATAAAAAATTGTTCAGGAAAAGCACAACCTTATTTGATTTTTTAAATTAAATTTTTAAGTGAAATGTAGTTTATATGTAATACTAGTTTCCGGTCTTCAACACAGTGCTTCAATTTTTATATATATTAGGAATTGATGAGGATAAATCTAGTTACCATGCAAATTTGTTACAATATTGTTAACTATATTCCCTATGCTGTACATTACATCCCCTTGAGGTCTTTATAACTGAAAGTTTGTATCTTTTATTCTCTTCCCCTATTTTTCCCATCCCCCCAGATCCTCCCCTCCAGCAACTACCAGATTGCTCCCTCTATCTATAAGTCTGTTTTGTTTTTTAGATTCCACATATGTGAAACCTTATAATATTTAATGTCTTTCTTTGACTGATTTCACTTAGAATAATACCCTCTAGGGCCATCAATGTTGTTACAAATTGCAAGATTTCATTCTTCTATGGCTAATATTCCATTATACATATGTGTGTGTGCACGTATGTTTGTAAAATTAGTGATATTAATTAGTGATATTGAGCATCTTTTCATTTATCTATTGGTCATATATATGTCTTCTTCAGAGGAATGTCTGATCAAGTCCTCTGCCCATTTTTTGATTGGATTATTTTTTTAAATTGAGTTGTATGAACTCTTTACAGCTTTGGATATTAACCCCTTATCAGTTATATCATTTGCAAATATCTTCTCCTGTTCAGTAGCTTGCCTTTTCATTTCCTTGATGGTTTTCTTCAATGTGCAAAAGCTTTTCAACTTGATGTAGTCCCATTTGTTTATTTTTGCTTTTGCTGCTCTTGTCTGAAGAGACAGTTAAAAAAAAATTAAGACCAATTTCAAAGAGCTTACTAAGTTTTCTTCTAGGAGTTGAATGGTTTCTGGTCCTAACATTTAAGTCTTTAATGCATTCTGAGTTTTTTTTTTGTATATGGTGTAAGAAAACAGTCCAGTTTAATTATTTTGCATGTAGTTGTCCAGTTTCTCCACCACCATTTATTGAAGACACTATGTTTTCCCCATTGTATAGTCTTGCCTCCTTTGTTGTACTTATTTTGGGTATATAGCCTTTTCTTTTCTGCTTAAAAAAGTTCCTTTAACATTTCTTGTAAGACTAGTTTGGTGTTGAGAACTCTTTCAGCTTTTCATTGTCTTGGAAACTCCTTATCTGTTCTTCAATTCTGAGTAATAACCTTGCTGGGTAGAGTATTCTTGGTTTTCAGGTTTTTCCTTTCAGCACTTTGAATATATCCTTCTGGCCTATAAAATTTCTGCTGAAAGTAAGTTGATAGTCTCCTGCCAGCACTGGACCAGCAAAGGAGAAGGGAAGTGGGAAAAAATGATGCCCATCAGTGCTTTTGTCCCTGGAGAACATTCTAACAGATTCCTGCTCCTCTGGAACATGTCCTCAAAGTTGTCAGTGAATCCCCTTCATGTGTAACCCAGGCACTTTCAAACTGCTGTCACTGCCCTGGGACTCAGGGCGAGTGAGGTTGTGTGTGTGCTCTTAGAAGTAGAGTCTTAACTTCTTACTGCTTTCCAGCTCTCCTGGGTATAAGCCCTGCTGGTTTACAAAGCTAAATGTTATGGGGGTGCAGGCCCATCATGTCTTCCTGATACAGGTTCCCTGGGCTTGGGAGCCCAATATGGATTTCAGACCTCTTGTTCCTCAGTGGGGTTCTCAATTGTTGTGATACCCCTCTTGTTTGTGGGTCACCATTCTGGGGGGCCCTGACTAGACTGCAACTCCATGCTTCTTGTCCATCTTGATGTGGTTTTCTTCATATCCTTGGTTGTGTAAAAATCTTTTCTGCTCATCTATAGTTTGATCTCAAAGATAGTTGTTCTACATGCACTTGAAATTCTGGTTTTTCCATGGAAGGAGATGAGCTCAGGATGTCTCTACTCTACCATCTTGATCCACAAGCCACAACTTCTATCCCAAAATTCTCATAAAAAGATACATTATAATAAAATAGGTCAGTAATATCTTTATAAAAGATAAAATGCCAGTGTTCACAAAGCCTTTTGACGTATCAGGGCTGCGTTAAACGATGAAATTCAGTCTAGTTATGTACTTCTGTTGCTTTGGCTTCATCAGGCTTTATTTGGAATATATGTCTTCAGAGAATGCAGGTGTCCATAACACATTTATTCTGCTGACCAGCTTAGCAATAGATACTGAGGAGCTCTGAGCACTGAGTTTAAGAGTGTGCTGTCAGGGAATGTTTCTATGTTGCCTATTTAAGTCTAATCAGGAAACATAGGAGAAATCATTGTTTTCACTACCATTTCTTTTTCTTTTGGGAGAAAGAGTATAAGTAAAGAAGGTATTGGAGAATACCCACAAACTGTGGAAACACTCAAAAAGTTATTTTAATTTCAATTAAATTCAAAATCATGTGACTCATAATAGCCAAAAAGTAGAAACATCCCAAATGTCTATCAGCTGATAAGTGGATAAACAAAGTATGTTACATGGAATACTCTTTGGCAATAAAGGGCTGACACATGCTACAACAGGGATGGGTCTGGAAAATATTAGGCAAATTGTAAAAAGCCAGACACAAAAGACCACATACTGTATGACTCCATTTGTATTAAATGTACAGAATAGGAAAATCCATAGAAACAAAGTAAATTAGTGGTTTTACAGGGGCAGGAGGAATAGGGAAATGACTGCCAGAGGATATCGGTTTTGATTTTATGGCAATGAAAATTTTCTAAAATTAATACAGGTGGTTGCACAACTCTGTTAAATACTACTTAATTGCATATGTTAGACAAGTGACTTTTATGGCATGTTAATTGTATCTCAATAAAGCTATTAAAAATGTGAGAGGTAAATTAAAATCACTATTTTTATTAAAGATTTAGTATCAAGATACTTTTTATTATGGAACTTTTCAACCATACACAAAAGCATAATGAAACCCAATGTATCTTCAATAGTTAACAGATCTTGTTTCACCTGCACCCTACCAACTACTTTTCTTCTTCACTGCATTGTTTTGAAACAAATTCATGACATCATAATGTTCCATTTTTAAGCACCTCAGTATATCTATGTCTCTCTATCTATAGAGATATATTAAGGTTAAGGAATCTTTTAAAAAAACAATTTCATTTGTATCTTAAATTTTTAGCAATAATTTATCAAATATTCAAAATTATTCCAATTTTCCCTGATATTCTCATATTTAATTTGTAGCTAACATGCTTGAATTAGGATCCAGACAAGGTACACACACTGCATTTGATTAATCTCAACATGTTTTCTATTATTGATATGTTTTTCCTTTTTGTGACAACCCGTTTGACAAACTGTGTTCTTTTTATTCTTAGGTCTTAAAAATGAGCTATAATAAAGTCCAAAAACTTCAGAAAGATAATTTTTATGGCCTCAGGAGCTTGACATGGTTGCTTCTGGACCACAACAGTATTGAGTTTATAAACCCAGAGGTTTTCAATGGACTTACCTTTCTCCGATTGGTGCATTTGGAAGGAAATCAGCTCACTAAACTCCATCCAGATACATTTGTGTCTTTGCGATACCTCCAGATATTTAAAGCATCATTCGTTAAGTATCTATACTTGTCTGATAACTTCCTGAGCTCCCTTCATCAAGAGATGGTCTCTTATATGCCTAATCTGGAAAGTCTTTATCTTCATGGAAACTCCTGGACCTGTGATTGCCACTTAAAATGGTTGTCTGACTGGATACAGGAGAAGCCAGGTATCTATGCCACTTACTCCTTTGTCCTAAGTAAGTAGAGGAAACCTGACTGAAAGTGTTATATCAGTCAGTGGGGAGGCAAAGATAATTTAATATCAGTCAGTGGGGAGGCAAAGATAATTTAGCTGAAGAGTAAATGAACTCTTATTAATTCAGTCATTAATGAATTCTCTTAATTCATCTGTGCATTAATGATCCATTGTTTCAGTCAACTATCCACTAATTACTCCTGGCTTTTGGAAAAATCTGGAAATAAGAAATGTATGTATGTGTTGCTCTTGCCTATCTCTTTTCAGCCAGTGCCTATTTTTTTGGCACTCTATTCAAGGTCTTGTGCTTGGCAATGGGAATACCAAGAGCACTGTTTCTGCTCTAACCACACGTCTAGAGGGTTACAGATAAGCATGTAATCAGAGTATGAAATGTGCTTTGAGGGGGAATGTAGAATTTGCTGTGCAGGGGGCAAGGGCCCACTGGTTTTGGCATCTGAAGGGTGCTTGGTTACTTTGGAAAGAGCAGTGGGAACTGGATTGCCATGCATCGAGGATGGAAGTGTGCAGTCACACAGGACTTGAGACTGTTGAGGGCGAAGGTGAGTCCACTGCAGAGGGGCAGGTCATCACCTAAGCAAGTCCTCTGAGAAGACTGGAAGGTAAGCACTCCAGCCAGAGGTGGAGAGCTTTTCCTTAAGAGAGAAAGGAGACCTAACTGGACACAGAGGTAGGGGAGCTCCTGCGCCTGGCGGAGGAAAAGGGAGCTCATAGAGGATGGCTTCTCCTCCTCTGTGTCCTTGTAGGAGAGGTGACTGATGAGGGGTCAAGCTTAGAAGCTTGAGAAAAATGGGAAAGGTTTGAAGTTGCTGCTATGAAATATATATACTGTATCTATGTGTATAGGTATGTCCAATCATATGTATGTAGGTGTATATATAGATACGTAGTCAGTTAATATAAATAGCTAAAAAGCTAATCAAAAAATAAATTGAACATTGTGAGGTACTGTAGAGTCTTTTAGGCAAATACACTAAATACATAGACAATAAGGCTATGCATGAAAACATCAAAATACTTTAGTTGATTATTTAGTTCCAGAGGAACTGAGACTCACTAAAAATTACTTCTGCCTTGACTAAAAAAGAGGGAAATATGGCACAAAGGTTACTTTGAAAGAAAAAGAAGGAATAAGAGCGAGCAGGGAGGTAACGTACTCAGTTTGTGCTTGACATTGTGCTAGCTGTTTTCTATTTAGTCTTCACAAAAATCCACAATTTACAGATGAAGAAATTGAGGCTTAGAAAAGTTGGTATTTTGGACTAGTAATTTGGACACTTTATTCCCATAAATGAAGCTTCACAAGACATCTAAAAGGGGAGCTATTGAGTGGGGTTTTCTCAATATCCTCAGTGCCATGGAGACAGACAGGAGAATGAGGTCACTACCTGAATTATAGGGGAAGGATGGTGCAAACAGAGAAAACTTATTTGAGAAATGTCGCAGTGAAAGGAGAAATAAGAGGGAGAGAATTGTATAACCAGAGAGAAAATGAGTCTGTTCAGTTTCTGCAAGGTGGGAAACCTACTTGCCATTCTGCTCATTACATGCTCAGTAATAAAATCAGGCTAATATATATTGTTACCAGCTAACATTTTACCAAATGGATTATGCCACTGATTATAAGATATTTAGTTATTCTACATACTAAAGGAAATTTTTTAATGACCAAAAAGAGTTCAGTAACGGACAGGCTGTAGCTCACGGGCCAGTTCCAGCCCTTCACAAGCTTTTTGT